TGAAACTTATTCTCTAATCAGAAACTCTCTCTATAGCTCTACTTTGTATAAATAGAAGAGGGGGGAGGACAAAAGAGGAGAGAGAGAGAGAGAGAGAGAAGAGACGCCTCAGAATCTTTTCTTTACACTCTCAGAAAATGAACTAGCTATTGGCAAAATTTCAACTAAAAAAAAATCAAACCCACTGTTGCCGAGTCAATTCCAACCCAATAGGATAGCATAGAACTGCTCCACAGGGTTTGGGGAAACTTTTTGCCTTTGCGGGGCAAAGAGCCTCATCTTTCTCCCTTGGAGCAGTCAGCGGGTTTGAACCACCGACCTTTCAGTTAGCAGCTCAATGACTGGCTCACTGTGCCACCAGGGCACCTATGGGCAAGATTAGGAGATTACGAATGGCTACTCACTGCATGGTGGGCATACTCATTGACTGCAATCATTTGGTTGCAAGAAACACAGTTGATTTTCTTCCCAGGGGCTGACGTTCTCCTCCCTGGAGAAACAGAGAGAGGGCACCACAGATGACGAAGCCCGTGACACTGCCGAGCTCCCCCTTCAACTACACGACACTTTATAGGGCCTGCATCCATGAGTCTGAACTGTCCCCCGGAACTGCTGGGCCGAGAATGTCTTGGGCTCCCTCCATCCTGCACCACACAGGCAACCCTTACCAGAATCACTACATTTCCTTTATAGCTACAGATGTGCAAGAAGGGGGGGGCGGGCAGCATTCAACACAGAGGAGGAGACATTTTTCTGGAGCTGGATGGGTGTCTAAGGAGACGAAGGGACACTGAAGCCTGGGTGCCAACACCATGCCATCTGACTGCTCTTTTCCTCCATCAGCTTCCAAGCTCTGGGCTCAAACCAGGTGTTGGGTGTCCACCCCTTTGTTGCGTATACACCTTTGAAGCCCCGCCATGCTGGGATGAAGCAAATGCACCTGAATGCCGTGCTTTCCAGCGTTTCATTGGTTGATGTGGACCTTGAGTAGATTGTTGTCTCAGGAGAGATCGATAGTCCAAAGAATGTTAGGTTTAGGTTGTCTCCACCTGTTAGCCAAAACCCAATGAAGTCAACCGAAAACCATCACCTTGGTGGCGGTGGCCTTGCCTGGTAAATGCAGCCCCACAAAGGGGGACTTGGCTCAAGAGACCATGAAGTGGTTCCAGGGAGCCAACGCAGGAGCCCAAAGATGAGCGGCTGCCTGCAGCTGGCTCCTTTATGACCCTTGGTGATGACGGGAAAGCACCAGATCTGGTCACTGGGAAATTTGGACTCTACTGGGCCCCTGTGTCGTCCTCGGTGTAAGTGTGTGGGCATGGAGATTTCTACCAGGTTGGAATTGTGGTGGAGGGCTTCAAAGGAGGCCTGGCATATTACTGGGTTCATCATTGCATCTGTATTCATCTGTGTGGATCTTAGGCACCCACCTCCTAGCCTCTTGGTCTCCCTGGATTAGTCACTTAAAGACCACAGCAGGCACCCAACAAGGCCACCCTATAGAACTAAAAGAGCCAACATGTCCACTGCGTAAAATTGAGAGCGATCCAACAAGCGCCCTTGTGATCTATCCTGCTGAGACCTGAGGTTCCTTGCATCCCATCCAAGGTACCTTTTGGTCCCTTAAGCTTCCATTGCCTCTGCAGCCCACGGTCCTCACCTTTCCTGGGCTCCGTCTGGCCCCGCTGGCAGGTGTCTTTGTGGTAGGCCAGCTTACGGAGCTGGATGAACTGATTACAGTCCGGACAGAGCTCTGTCTTGCTGCCACATCTGTACTCATGGTCCTCCAGCTTGCTGAAGTTCATGGTCAGCTCACAGAACTTACACTGGACCTGACGCATCTGGCATTCCTTGTCCTAAGAGGGGACAGGCAGAAAGGGTGTGATCATCGGCACCTTGGGTTGGAGATAAGTCTGGGACAGGAGCCTAACTCTCCCAGGGAATTGAAGGCAACAAGAGAAAGTAGGGGGGACGTTTTCAAGTGGGGGACTGTTCTCAGAGAACACAAGCTCTGTTAGGGTCATGGCAAATACTTCTGGCCGGTGACTCGACCCTGTGGTGGGTTAGCTCTCCAATGCTCTCAGAGCCAACTTGGGCAAGAAGAGAAAAGTCAAGGGGGAACCTTATTATTGGCCTCTCCTCCCAGGTGGTGCCTGCGGTAAAGGAGGCTGCCAAAGGGAAATGATGGGTGAGACTTACCTCGTGAACCTCCAGCAGATACTTCTGCATGGTCTGCCGGCACATAGCACACTTGACCTAAAGGCAGAGAGACACGTGGGTTCCACCCAGCACCTATGGTCTCTCCCCATGTCTGCCTTGGCTCTCGTGTTCCAGGTCTGGGTCTTTAAACTCAGAGAGGGCAGGTGCAGGCATGGCTATCTTTGCTCAGGGTACAAGACTGTTTGTAGGACCGGCTGAGTTGACACTGACACCTGAACTTGACACCCCCAGAAGGGCAGACAGGGCGGAAGGGAGAGATGACACAGCAGTCCAGAAAAGTTGGTGGGGCCCGACTGCCTCCTAGTACCCAGCCTCTCCTGTTTCCCTTCTTCACAAATCTCAAGAGAAGAGGCCATCTTTCCTCTTGCCTTGGCCAAACTCATCAGTCTGGAGGGAGAGGACTGGAAATGAAGAGGGGCAAAACACCAAACTAACTGAGGTGACCCTCAAAGAGTCAAGCCACAGGTCCCGGCAATCCCAATCCTGGGTCCGTCCTGGGAGGAAAGAAGGGAGGGACGCGGACAGAAGCGTGTGCCCCAGTGTGCACTGGAGGGCTTTCCCCGGATCCAAAAGGTGGAGACACTGCAGTGTCCAACCACAGATGCACGGGTCCATCACAAAGGATTCGCACACCCGGTGGAGATACTAGGTCCGACGCAGGCCACGGCACAGATGCAAGCGTCCTGCTGAGTGAAGGCAGTCCATTGCAAAAAGGCCAAGTCCTGTGTGATCTCCCTAATACGAAATGCTTTAATAGGTGGAAGCCAAAGATCATGAATGAATACCAGAGTTGAGAGAGGGAGGTGGAGTTGGGGGGAGGGGGTTGGTTTGGAAGGTCTTGCGTTTATGTTGGTGGTGGGATATTTTGGAAGTTGATAATGGTGCTACCGATGAAAAATCAATATCTCAGAATTGCAAACACAGAAGCTGTTGGGAACCAAAAAGTGGTTGTGTTAGACAGGGTTCTCTAGAGAGATAAAACCAAATTGCTGATAATTTAATATATATATTTATAAAGATAAATAGATATATAACAAGAAATGAACTGTTAAATCATATACAGATAAATATATAATACAACAAAGAAACAGTTAAATTATAAAGCACTACAAATGGCTCGATTCAACTCACTCCCATGAGAGACTTGTGAGAGACTAGCAGTCCTTCAAGTCCTGTCTGCTGCCAGATCTTCCTCTGTTTATAGAGAGAGCTAGGCTATGTCAGCACAGCAGCCAATCAGAAGGCAGGTCACCAACTGCCAGTCCCCAGCTCCAGCGATCTCTTAAAGGGACCTCAACTTACAGCGACACAGTCCACAGGCTAGGTGTCCCACAGGTAGTGTAGCCTTTAAATTGAGGCAAAGGACAAGCAAGGCAGCTGCACACTGGTCCGATGATCAAAGAGCGAGAGACAAGAAAGGCGAGGCTCACCAAGCCATTTATCTCTCTGCCCTTCAGTTAATCCCACTTGTGTTTATCGGCCAGGCTGGCACAATAAACTATCTCATGGGTGAAGGGAGACAGTGGTTGGTGTAAGCCATGAAAATTGAGAAGTTATCAAAGGCTCATGAGGGAGGGGGGTGGGGTAGGGGGAAATGAGCTGATACCAAGGGCTCAAGTAGAAAGAAAATGTTTTTTAAATGACGATGGCAACCTATGTCCACATGTGCTTGATACAATGGATGGATGGATTACGATAAGAGCTGTACGAGTCCCCAATAAAATGATTTTTTAAAAGAAACAAAACAGAGAAGCTGTTGCATTTGTTCAGTTGTGGCGCTTGTATTTTTGTCACGATCAAAACAAAGACCCTCAGGGTAGACTGGGTGTGGCAGCTGGATGTTTCTGTCGCCTTGAAGCTGGGTGAAGTGGGGGGTGGGTGACCTACCAATCAGGTCACCGTCTCGTGGTGCCTCCTCGGGGCAGGGGGCAGGATGGCCCTTTCTTTTCTCTGCTTAGATGTGTCTGCCCACTCTGAAAGCAGTTGTCGCCTTGCCATGTTTCCACCGACCTTGGACTCACGAGACTACACACCCACCGGCCAGTGATCTCCCTGTCTCCCGCTTCACCCTTCTGCCTCCTCAGCCTGTAGGCACGTGAGTCTGGCCAGCGTCAGATCTGTGCGTTTGAGTTGGGCGGGGCTTGGATGCCTTGACAGACAGTTGCTTCTTGCTATAAAGTTCTTTCTAACATCCATATATATTTCTCTATGTCACTGGTTTTCTTTCTCTCATCAACACACGAGAAAGGCTGCTTCCATTTCCCAGGTGGGGGCTGAGAGGTGGAGGGGTGGGGCATGTGAATGAGCTGATATGGCTTCTCTCCCCATAGTCTTCCTAGCTCCCACCAAGCAACTTTCTCCTGACGGGCGGTGAGAGAAGGTGGGAGGAGGTGCTGATGGGATGATATGATTCAGTTGTGAGTGACTGTTGGCAGAGCTAATTGTGATCATGAACACTTGGAACTCTTATGTGAGACTTGGTCCATGTTGCCACCCTGCTGGGTATCTAGAACTGAGCCATCTGTCGCAGCCAAAGGAGGGATTTCACCACCTTCAAGAAAGAAGAGCCCAGAGGGGAGCGTCTCCGCTGGACCCTGAGATCTCTCCCTGATAAACCTAGATCCAGAAGGCAGACATCAGTGGCGGCAGCAGAGCCAGAGCTCAGGAGAGAGCAGTGAGCTTCCTGGCTCCTGGAGCCCGTCAAGCCGAGTGCCTGCAGGCAGGAGACTTGCTTGTGAAGTGAGGTCCCTCCAGCAATGTCATTGGGAGAGCTTGGTCGGCTGAGCCAGGGAGCCAGAGCCGAGCACCACCTGCAAGCTGAAGCTCGTGGTGAAGTGCGTGCCCTTTAGGCACGCCCCAGTGACGTGAAAAGACCTTTGTCACATTACCCGTGACCCAAGCGGAGCAGAAGCCAAGGCGCCTCATGGCGGAGAGGCCTGGGACCAGAGAGAGGCCTGCCTGTGAGAATGGCTGGGAAAAAGTCCTGGCTAAAGAAATGTATCCTGAGCATTTCTGGTCCGGAATTGTAATCTGTTAGCTTCCCTAGGACAGGCCACACTGGTGAGTATGGTCTGGGAGTTCTGGGTAGCCGCGGTGATGAATGATCAGACCCAGCAGAGAAGCATCGAGGCCCCGGGAAGGAGGGTGGGAAGGTGGAAGCACGTCTGATAGGGATAGGCCTTGGGCTAATGTCCAGTTGGAGTCCCTGCCCCTTGCTAAGTCAGAGGAGCGCAAGTCCCCATTTTCACAAGGGCCTCCCTGACTTGCTCAGGGCAGCCCAGTGCATGGCTACAGCTGGGACAGGCTCTGGCCCCTGGCTTCTGGCCCACTGCTCCCTGATGCTGGGCCCTCACCTCCATGTGCTTGTCCTCAAAGTGCTCCTTCAGCTCCTTCTTGGGGACGGGCTCCTCACACGTTGGGCAGAGGACCAGGAACCGCATGCAGTGGGCCTCATGGAGGGCAAAGTGGGCCGAGGCCACACTTCTTTTGCTGTAGGATCAAAAGGGAGCAACGAGCAAGAGATTTATATCATGGTGTGGAAAGGGGACGGTACGCTTGTGAGACGGAAGAGCCCATCTTGCCCCCACAGCTACTGAAAAATTGTTCGAGAGGCATACACACATTTTTACAGACATATGAAATTCCCATGGTCTAATAATCGCCTTTAAAATTTTTTATAATAAACAGTTTTATCTTGGGACATCATTCAAATAGCATACAATCTGATCATTCCATTGTTCCTTTAAAATGTTTATAGATGAAACTACGATGGTTGTGTTTTCGTTCTAAGTTTTACTTGAGAGCCATGTGTATGTACCCCAAAAGCTGCCCGTGGCTCGAGGGCCCCAGTTTGCCGAGCGCTGGTGCGGAACACAGAATCTCTGGGAAGGGTCCACCCTAGTTCATGCCACCAAACCCCAAAACCCACCCCACTGCCATCAAGTCAAATCAAGCTCATAACCAAAAAATCCCAAACACCGAAAACCAAAAACCCAAGCTCACTGCCACAGAGTTGATTCTGACTCATGGCGACCCTACAGGACAGAGCAGAACTGCCCCTGGGGGTCTCTGAGACTAACTTGAGTAGAAAGCCTCATTTTCCTCCTGATTCTGGCACACAGTGACCCTATGTCTGGTGTCTGAGACTGTCGATCTACCTAGGAGCAGGCAGCCTCCTCTTTCTCCTAAGGAGCAGCTGGTGAGGGTGAACCACAGACCTGGTGGTTAGCCACTCAATGCCTACCCCACAGCACCATCTGCCACAGAAGGGTGTCCCTGGACCCCTGCTCTGATGCCCCTTCCCCCAGCTTCCTCTCCAGGTGAGCTGGGCAATGGGAGTGGCTCTGGAGAACCCAGCGTCTGGCCAGTAAGAGTAGTCCAGGGCACAGTGTTCGCCTGGCTTCAGGACTGTCCCAGAAAAATAAAAAAGTAACAAACTGTGGGGAAGAGAGTGCAGTGAAGTCCACGGACAGTTGACCTTCCTGGCCGGTTGACTTTCCCTCCTCCCTCTTGCCCCACCCCCACCCTTGCCTTTCCTTTTAGTCTCGAGTGGGGACCCTCTTTCCTCCTTTGACTATCTGGGCCCCTCTCACCAGGGCAGCCAAGCAGGGGCTAGAGAAAGAGCCTTACCAGTGCTCACACTGCTGCACGTCTTCCTCCATGGCCTGTCTGTCTACAGGAGTCTCCAGTTTCGTTTCCTTTGCAGACTGAAAAGCAAAACTGAAAGTCCTTCCTAATCCAGCCCATCGCTCCAGGGAGGGAGGAGACTGTCTGAATGCTCATCCAGCAAGCGCTGCCCTGAGGTGTCTAGCAGGGCACCCCGCTGAGGAGTGGGAGTGTGGGTTGGGGAGGGGGTCCTTTCCAGCACGGCCAGCCCAGCTGGTTCCCTGATGCTCCCTCCACCTGAATCCTCGCCTCTGTTACCTGTGCAGTGGTCCCTGCTGGTTCTCAGACCCTGCAGTTAGGAGCCCCATCCTGACACTCCAGGGGGCTTCACACCACCAAGGACTCTCCTTGGGGTCCACCAACCACTGGCCTCCCTCTCTGTGCCCCACTCCCCTGAGCATCTCCTTAGTCCTGCAGGAAAGAGGGGGCCAGCCGGGTGAACTGCTCCCTAAAGGTGCCTGCTGGGTCTCTCTGTCTGGAGCCAGTGGGTGTTCCCAATTTGTGACAACTTTGAAAACGAGGTTTGGTGTGCGTGTGGGCGGAGCCTGGGAATGGGGTGCATGATGAAATGTGCCATGGCTGCAGCCTCTGGAATTGCCTTCTAGCTTCCACACTTCGGTGGAGCCCTGGTGGCACAGTGGGGCGATAGGCCGGCAGCTAAAACTGCCAGCCAGTCCCTGGGAGAACCAGGAGGCTCTCCACTCACCAAGCTGGGGTGTTTTCAATCGCCCCACATGCGCGTGGCAGTTGGACAGCAAATCAAGAAGACCGGAGAACGGATGCGTCTGAACTGGGTGCTGGGGAGAATCCTCAAACACCCCCAGACTGCCCAAAGGACAAACACACCTGTCTTGGAAGAAGTCCAGCCAGAGTGCTCCTTAGAGGCAAGGTGGTAGCCGTCGTCTTTGGTACTTTGGACGTGTTGTCTGTCGGGAGAGACCAGTCCCGGGGAAAGGACATCATCACGCTGGGTAGAGTCGAGGGGCAGCGGAAAAAGAGGAAGACCCTGGTCAAGACTGACAAGTGGCTGCAACAATGGACTCAATGGGCCTTGTCTTTTCGGTCCCCACCCCCAAGCTCAAGACCAAACGCCCAACACCTAACCCACAGCACCCCTGCCATCCACCCGGTGCGACTCATACCCACCCTCAGGGCACGGTGAAACCGCCCTGGAGGGTTTCTGAGGCTGTGCCTCTTTACGGGACTAGAAAGCCCCCTCTTTCCCCTGCAGATCCACGGGTAGTTTTGAATGACAGACCGTGATGATGGCAGCCCAGTGACTGACCACTACACCACCAGGGCTCCTCCACAGCACCGTGACTTTATAAAACTTGGCAGCCTAATGCTCTGCGAATGAGGAGTTCCGGTCTCCTGAAAATCAGGAGTTACAAGGAACCACTGGGGGAAGGATGATAATTAAGTAAAACACCTAATAAGGGGCCTGGCCATTTAATGAAACATTTCCCCCTGCCCCCTTTTAAACGGTGAATTCTTTATTGGAGATCTTGGTTTCATTGAACAGGATAGTGCATGAAATAATCTTCTTGGTAATACTAAGCTATCAC